TGTTACACACATTTATTTGGTTTTAAATAGGTTCTAGGTATTTTTTTCGTATTTTTAAAGTCTCGAAATTCACGACCATGACGTGTCCCTAGGGTACGTTTTCCAACTTTCACGCTGTTTTTAGACTAATTATTCATGCCGAAATATATAAAGCCATATTTTTATGTCATCAATGGTTATTAAACTTACAAAAAAGGAGCATATTATAATTTTATTGTCATTACAAACTGACTACCATGACAAAATAAGTCTGTCCCTCGATTTGGCGTCACGACCATTTGGGAAAAATTTTCAACTTTGGGGCACGACAGTGGCAAGCCTGGCGTCGATGAAGTCAGTTGGTTGTAGAGACTAGTTTGGGGTGTACGTCAGGATTGTAGTGCCGGTCGTTTCGAGTTGAAAGGAGGAATTACAAGATTAATAAAGGAAAGATTGTGTTTTTTGTAATTTTGGTGTGTCCATGACCGTACGTAGTCATTCGATGAAGTAGACATGGTGTTATTTTTTGTTTATAAGATATTTCAATTGCTAGATTAACCTAGAAGTCCACTTTGTATCCTCGAGCATGAGGTGCAGGGCTACTGCCAGAACAGAGCCAAATAACACGTAATTTCACGACCAAAGTTTCACGACCATCGCGGTTTTTTTCACGACCAATCCAGCCTTGTGGATTATAGTGTGTTTGGTCATGACAATAACTTTAATATAATTGTAAATTGAACAGTTTAGTTCAATTGAAACACATAATTTTATTATATCTAACAGTATAATTGAAGGATTGTTTAGAAAGATTTAGATTATTCCAGACAATTCACGACCGTACCGCTTGTCCCTGACCATCACGTTTATGTTTTCTATCATAAAAAATTCAAAAATTAAAATATCGTCATATTTTAATGTTTTATACACAAAAGAAGCACACCTCTATACAAACATAACGATTTTTCGGGTCTCTGGTAAGTTTTTTCGGAGTTATACAAACTTAAAAAGATTTTATTGGCTTTTTTTCAATTTTTTGAGTTCTTTTCTTTTTTTCTAGAAAGACCAAATATACCAAAAGCTCAGTGACCTTTTTATTGTATAATGGTCATAAAAGTAAATTAGTTTATAGCAAAACATAGTTATAAAAATAATATTAACTATTTTTAATATTCATTTAAACGTCCGTTATGGTCGTGACAGGATTTTGTGTTTTTCCACTAAAGATGCTCTTTAAAAAAAAAACTACCAAAGATATTGCGTTACCATGAACATTTTATAAAACTTCAAATGTTAATAAAATAAAAAAAATAATAAAAGTTTTGAAAAAAGGGGGAAAAATTTTGCAAAGTGCTTTTCCTGAAAACGTACGTTTTTAAATTTTCACTCTGTAAATTAAATGAATCTTTGAACAACTGTCATTTTGCGCAGGATCAACCTTTTCAAGTGCGGTTTGCGGCATTGTATTCTACTAAAAAAGACCTTTAATTTGATGTGCATATTGACCTATGCTTCCATTTAAGATTTTCTTCCGACTCCTTGTGGGCCTTCCCCCTGAAGAGTTATTGGATCACTGAATATGTGTTAAAATAGAGTTTTATGCCCTGTAACTTTGTACCAAGTATTGTAGCTCTATCTGCATTATTTTTTAAAATATTTAACTGTCCAGGGACTTTTTTACCACCCTGTATAATTAATACGCTACATGAAACTTTGTCGGTTGAACTCCTCCACCATTTCTAAACCGATTTTATCCATTGACGTCTCATTGGAAAGAACGTGTCGCGTAAATTTGCAAACTTACCTTACATTTTTGAAGTCCCTTGGGCTCTGCCCCAGTGGCTGTTAAAGTTCCCATGTTATTCTTATGAATAACATAATTGTTTACATTTTGATCAGCTGTATAATTTACTAGCTGTTATTTATTTTTCAATTCAATGAAACACATTGGGTACATTTACTGATTTTGTTGAAATTAAATCTTACTAATCTATACTATTAAATAAAAATCTAATGGTGTCTGTATGTGTATTACTAATAGGTGTGAAAACTACTAAAACAACCTAGCTTAAATTTTACAAAAATATAGTTACCATACCAAGGACCATTATAGGACTATTCACACTTCAATACTGACCATGGGCTTTGCCCCTTTGGCTTCAAAAGTTCTGAGGTGAGGATTTCAAAAGTAAATATTGATTGGTCACCATGGCTGCAATGAGAACTCACAATGTTTACATTTGCTTTGACATTTCAAAATAAACAAGAACTGCCAAATTGCATATTTTACAATTTAAGACAGCTGATCTAATGAAATGAAATATAATATTTCAAACAATTATGTGGTTGGTGTATTTAATAAAAAAAATGTCAATGTCAATGATTATAGAAATAAAAAAATGGCTCTGCTTTCGATTAGTGTTATGAAAATAATGTTATTAATATATTTTCATGGACACAGTAAGAAAATTAAAATGTATAGATGTTTTGTATGAATTTGGAGGCTACTTTAAATAAATTCAAACTGCTTAACATGTGTTGGATTAACTTAACATAACTTGCACACACATTGTTTTTTTTTTTTATATGTACCGGTATATTTAGGTAAATTTAGTTATTGTGTTTTCCTAAACCTATGCTTAAATTAAACTAAAGAATATCATCAATAACTAAATTGTTCGTCGTTGATTTTTGTGTTCTAAAATCTATTGTATATGTGTAAGTATATTTAATTATCAAATGGTAATACAAAATACACCTATTTTATATTAACATAGCTTTCAGTTCCCATTTACTTTATTTGATAAATTTATTATTTGTGTTTTACCACACTGATTAAATTAAACCAAGGGAAATATCATAAAACTAAGCAGTACACAGTGTTCTTTTATTTCTAAAATCAATGAAATATCTGTTACTATGTTTACTTAAAAGTGTGAAAATGTAAATGCAATGGGCAATGGAACTGATTAAAAGAACTGGTTTGTATATTAAGTTGTTTGTTGATATTTTTGTAGAGTAGAATCAGAGATGCAATGAAACATACTGTATTTGCTATTACATTTTTTAGTCCTTGGATGCTTTGATTATCTTATTACTTTTGTCTGCTGTCTTTAATGCTAAATTATTTGTTAAAATTTTGTTATAGTATATATATATAGTTTCTTTAATATTTCAAAAGACTATTGATAAGGCACAACAATATTTCTAAAGTTTATAACAGCTGAGTTAGTTTTGCTAATGGATTTATTGTGAGTGAAGAAACTGAAGATGGAAGGATTGGTGATTTAATACGAAGAAGAGTGAAATTAAAAACATGTTCATTTAAATTTAATAATTAGTATTTTTGCAACTTCAAAGTTGAAATTTAAAACGTCAAAAATAAAGAAAAAAGGTATGTAATTAAGGGAGATTAAGGTAAATCATGTATGTGAAAGTTTTATTCAAAGATTTGGTCAGTTTTTTCTCATATCAGCCTACACAATATTTAAAATTATTCAAAACCAAAATGGTGGTATCCACTACTTACCAGATTTAAAAGTTATAACTTAAACGTTTCTAAGGCCATGAAAGTTTAATTTTGTTTCTAAAAGCGCGTTGGTGGATGTGTAACTATTATATGCAACAGATGTAAAGATTAAAATGTTTCTATTTTGTGTCCTCTTCCCGTTGCAAAGCACGGGTACAACAGCTAGTATTATAAATGTGAAAGTTTGTGTGTTTGTTTGTTTGTTTGAAGTTTAATCACGCTTTAACTACTGGACGGACTGGGCTGAAATTTGGCATGATGATAGCTCACATTCCCGATTAACATATAGGCATATTCTTATCCCAAAAATCCTTTCGGGCTCCGCCCTAGTGGCTTTATAGTTCCCCATGTTAACCTTATGAGTATTCATATTTAAAGGTAATTAAAGAATTTAGTCAGCTGGTTCAACTAAAAAGTTTGTTCTATTATATGCAAAAGCATAAAAAAGTTATAAGATTTGCCAACAGGGTGCAGCACAATTTTTGTAACATTTATGAAAACAGCTAATTTGAACTCAGTTATGTTTATATTTTTAATTTCATGAATCATTTGTGATATTTTGCGAATGTTAATAATTTATTTTTCTATATTGTTTAGGTGAAGTGGTAGAACTATATGGCTATGGTAGATGTTTATATAGTAGTAGGCAGGTGTGGCTATAGGATACTGTACTGTAAATTTAAAGAAGCAAATTTTATCAAACTGTGTCCTCCCCCATTGCAAATGCAAAGCTTGAGTATAACTGCAATAAGCATTAATACTTATATGCCAACCCCGTACGAAGGACGGGTACTCTGCTAGTATTTACTATTTTAATTTACATTCGTACATATTACAATGTAAAAAATCGAGAAAGCCTGGACAATTTTATATATTTTACCAAATAAGAAAAATGAATTGACATAGTACTATATTTCTTGAAAATCATTGAAAGAGCCGATTTGTTAACCATGGAAACATAGCAAAGTCATAGAACGCCACCAAGTAGAAGAAATAGAGATTTAAAAAAAAAGTTACCATCGTTATCAACCTATATAATGAAGAACACCTACAGCTACAATATGAATATTCCCACAAACAATGAACAAGGATGTTAACTATAATATAGTGGTATAATTACCTCGTCAAGTAATCCAAATGTTTTTGATGTTAGGTTAAAAACCTACATGTTTCACCGTTAATACGGCATCGTCAGGGTATTAACGGTCTTCATTGACGAAGATCAACACGGACAACCTAATGCGGCTATGAGTGGGAAACATTAAGAAACCAGATTAAATTTTGAAAAATGATAAAATATTTACAAGAAATGTTGATTATATGGAACTGTTAGGTACGTAATCTATGAGTTGAGTCTTTTAAACTCATCGGAATTTATGATGACTTTTATTTGTTTTTAAATAACTACTTTACTTCTTTGCAATTGCTCGATTTCGAGCAACAAGTACACTAGTTTTTAATGATAAGGAAACACAAATATTATGAATTACAGAGATGCCTGGACAAGGAGCCCAGCAAGAGATGGACATGTGAACAGCTGCTGACACATCCGTACTTTGACAACTTTCATTACCAGCTGCCAGAGCAGGAGTTGGAGGAGTTTGAACGGCTCAGGAAACATAGGGACCGGTCGAGAGTAAGTAAAAAGCCACAAAATACTAGGAACCATAAATGGCTACATTAATCAATGTATATTTCAAATCTACTCTTGTTTGATACAGAGAACAAAAAGTCGCTTTTGATGGTTTGAAACTGGAAAAACCTATCCCTCATTTCTGGGCTACAAAAATATAATAAACGCTAAAGAACCAGCTGATGATAAGAAGGCTAGCAAACTGTTTGTTCATTCAAAACTAAAACTTTTCATTTATACTCCCCTTTCTCAAAAATTGTTTTTTTTTAGTTTCACTCTTAAAATATAAAATAAAATGTCCAGTTTTCATTAAAACCATCGTGAAGAGCACAAAAAAACAAATAATTTTGTATATTGAAGCATTTTGTTGTAGGGTTAAAGGTTATTTACAAAATTCTGAAAAAACTGTAGGCCTAATTTTAAAATTCCTATGTTATTCTTGTGGAGAATAAATAAACTATTGTAGTTTGCCTGTTTATGGATGATTATTTGATCAAATTTGGCAAATTTGTTTACTTTTTACTATTACCATTTCATAAGAATAGTTTATAGTTCCCTGTAGCAGCAAACCATTGAAACTGGTACTCATTGAAATTGTTATTTAGATAGAAAATGGACCTGGCAACTTAAGGAAATATTTTAGTAAAAATCCAACCAGGTAAATGGAAATTTACTTAGTCTGCAGGTTTGCTGCAAAGGGGGTATTTAATGTTTTAATAAGCTCTGGACCTCTTATTTATCAATTCAGTAATTTCTTACTTCAATTCACCCTTTAAGATGGGATCAGGGGCTTCACAAGTTACTAGTGACAATAATTAACCTATTTTGTCAGAGGCTTCCAAAGCTACAATTTACCATGGATAAACAATTATTTTATGTTATAGAACTCGAGTTTCAGCATCACAGGAGGAGGATCAAGTCTTCTGCCTCAACTACCAAGTAACGGGCCGAGCCCCGACTACACTCGCCCACCCCATCTGCAGCGGCACACATTCGACCATCTACCAGACATATGACAGGTCCGCCGCAGTTGAACTGTCAACACAAAAATTCAAATTATACTCGTCTTTATTTCAGCATCATAATCCATTTGATTTATTTGTTTTATTCAGTTAAAACTAAATACTTTGTATTACTTTTCACAGGCTGTCGATATGATTAAAAAACTTCAACGATAAAATTCTTTTTAGTTTCTAAACTGGTATAGAGAAAAAAATATGAAAAAAGTTTGAATAAATGAGATGAATAATAATAAATTATCTCTTGCAATTCTCAATTTATAGTTTACAAATTATCAATAAATAACTTATTGATCAGCATCGCACGTGTTATTAAATTACCTGAAAGTAAAAAAAATATGTCAAATAACTCTTGTAATAACATACACACTTATATTTTTACACTTATACTGTTTATTCAAAAACCAAATTCGCCTATTGGGTCTGATGATGATTGGAGTGTTCAATCAAAATCGATAAACACCTACCACTTTTATATGTATTTACCGTCTTATGAGAAAACGGTATAGGTGTAAATATATTATTTATTAATAATACTAGCTGTTACCCATGGGCTTCTCCCCGTTTGACTTCATAAGTATTAATAAAACTATTGAAGCTGAAATAAACAAAACAGAATAAACTAATACAAACAAATAATCACACCTGATTTTAATAAGGTAATAAATTGAATGAATAGCATATGCATAAGTACAGCTGAGGTATTTTTAAAATTAGGTATGTGCAAAGTTTCCTTTAGAAAGGTATTACTAGAAAGGGCAATTTATGAAATAATGGATAGTTACGCGCAAGGTAACATGGATTGTTTTGCGTCATGACAAACATTTTAAGTATATGGTTTATGGGGGTGTTACTTGTAGTTTTCGGAAAATTCCCTGGGTACTTTGGGATTTATATATGGATAAGTGTTATTTGATGTATTTTTTGTACTTTCAAGTAAATTATCAATGTAGTTTTAAAAGCTGGAATATCTATTTAAAAATACAAACAGTACTCACCCTAACAAAATAAATCTAATATTTACTACTTTTGATGACATATTCTTAAATAATATCAGAAAAGTGTTTATACCATAAATATTTCTTATTGATGAATACTAGGTGTACATCTTTATGAGTGCCTTACTGTCAAAATACATAGGTCTTTCCTCTTTCCAATGTAAATTGAATAATTTTTTGAGAAAAAAAACAGCACTTTGAACAAGTCAAAATAATATATATTGTATTGTATATAGTATTTTGTAAACAATAGTAAACTGGGTACCACCCCATTGAAAGACTTAATAAAATGTGATTTAACATAAACATAAAGTGTTATTCAACCCATCTCACACAGTGTTTATGTCGCTTAAAAAATGTCCAAAAACAAAAACAGGATTTAAGTAAAAGGTTACTGGTACTTGAAAAGTAATGATGCTATCCAAATCCAATATTACTGTCAAAATACCATAGTACAGGCTGATCCCCTGATTCAAGGTGTGGGCAGGGTGGGACTAGCCTGCCAGTCCCTGTACCTGATTGCTATTTCAGTATATCTAAAGAAAACCTGTTGTAGGTAGCACTTTTAATAGCACTTGTAGGTCAGCAAGTACTATAACAATACCCCCATTGTAGCAAACTTTCACATTAATGGAACTTCCAGCTGCCAAATTGATATTGGCTTAAAAGGGTACTTAGTTTCTAGAGTGCAGTAAAGGCACTGGGCAAAAGGTTTTTAGGCTAGGTTAAATCCAACCATTGAACGAAATGGAAAACGCTGCACAAGCTGATCGTAGTCGTAATATCTTTAAGTGTTGCCAACTTATTTTCAAGCGTACACTTGTTACGTGCCTAATAAAAGCACGCTGTTTTGTATTGTTTGGTTCAGGGCTGATTTACCGAATCAATTGGTTTTTTTGGGGGGGCGCCAAAAAATTTGAAAATAAAAAGATTTTGGTGGATGTATTTGCAATTTGCATGCGATCGTGGTTAACTTCTGATCATCCCTCGCGGCTGTGTAGACATCATTCCCTATCATCTCTCAATCCCGAGTAGACATCGTAATTGTCTCCCACGATTGCGGCAAAATTTTAACTACTTCCCGAGGTCAGGTAGACATCATCATCATCTGCAATGGCGGCAAAACTCTTGACTATTCATTTGCTGTGGTTGTGTATACGTCTTCCACAACGTCTTACATGATCGTCTTTAATGATCGCAGCAATATCATGAACATATCAACATTAAAAAAATGACGCATAATTTCCGAATTTCCCGGGCGGTGGACAGCCTGTATTTACATATATATGTTATATATATATTTATATGTATGTATATATAGCAAGGGGGCGCTACTATTAGTTGTGCCTAGGGCCCTGATAGGGTCAAAAACAGGCCTGGTTTGGTTGAATACTGGTGTGCAGCAAAAAAAAAAAAAAAACTGCGACAAAAGTAAGTAGATGCAGCAATTAGCAACTTTCTGTGCTATAATCAGTGCAAGGAAGCCCATATTGTCAGGCGACTGTAAGAAATAGTTAATAGTTATTTATGTAACGAGTGGGCGAAGTGGCACTTTGCTGCACACGAGAGAAATGTTTACTTGTTATATTTTTCCTACAGTTACTATAAATCATATAAATAATTACTCTTTCAAACATTGTAGTACATGTTTTTAGGTAAGGTTAAATCCAAACATTAAAAAAAAATGGGAAACACTGCACCAGCTGAACATAGTCGTAATATCTTTAAGTGTTGCCAACTTATTTTCAAGCGTACACGGATTACATGCATAATAAAAGCACGCTGTTTTGTGTTGTTTGGTTGGAATACTGGTGTGCGCTAAAGTAAAAACTGTGCGCCAAGGTAAGGCTTTCTGTACTATAATCTGTGCAAGGAAGCCCACTTTGTCAGGTGACTGTAGAAAATAGTTATTTGTGTAACTAGTGAGCAAAGTGGCACTTTGCTGCTCACGAGAGCAATGTTTACGCACGACCCGCAGGCGAGTGCGGAATGATCTTGAGTGCAGCAAAGGCCTTTTGCACTCGTGTTACACATTATATTTTTCCTACAGTCACTATAAAGCATATAAATAACTAGTCTTTCAAACACTATACAACACGTTTTTAGGTTTAGCTGGCAACACAAATAGGTGCTCTAGAGAAAGTAGTCCGGTCTGTATCACTTCGCTATTTTTTTCCTCGGCATGAAATGTGCTCCGCGACTTGAGAAAATAGTTCCAAGTGGTTTCCGCGTCTAAAAAATTGCTTTAAAGGTATTTTCTTGTTTATTAAGATCGTAGGAGTGTTTTAAAAACGTTTAAAAGAAAAGTCCAGAAAGTTCAGAAATGCCGAAAAGAGAACATGAACTATAAACACGAAATGACAGGTTAAATCGTAGTTAGAATAGTCAATCAGCTGCTCATAGTATTACTGTAATCTTTAAGTGTTGCCAACCTATTTCCAAGCGTACATGGATTACGTGCATAATAAAACCACGCTGTTTTGTGTTGTTTTGTTGGAATCCTGATGTGCGCCAAAGTATAAACCGTACGACAAAGTATAAATATGCACCAATTAACAACTTTCTGTACTATAAACAGTACAAGGAAGCCAACTTTGTCGGGTGACTGTAGGAAAAATATTTTGTGATTGAAATCAAAGAGCATTGGGTTAAATAAAGAAATATACCATATTTACACTCCCGACCCGACTATCCGAGTCTCAGCTACAAGTACTGTATTCAATCACTTTATTGTTGGTTTCATAGTTCTTGTACAATAAGTCCAATATTGCTCAAATTAGCAAAAGCTTCAAAGACATCACAAATCACTTGATGTTTCTGTTGCTGAGGTTCCACTATGGTGTCAGATCGTAGTGTCCATTCAGGCTGTCTGGGGTTTGACAGATTCACCTCTGAGCTCACCACCTAATACAGAACAGCACTATTTAAAAAGGAACTGATAACGTCACAAAGCCTCTCATACCGTTTTATCTTTGGGAAAATGATTTATTTTTATATTAAAGGCCAAGTCTTATAGGTAAAGATGTTGTCAATCAACTACGATCGTCATCAACTATGATGGCACGTGGCTCTGAGGTAAAAGCTCCTAACACTGAGAGTCACACCACTACAAGCTAGGGCTATTCAATTAATCCAACATAATTAATGGTTGAGATCACAAAATGGCACCCTATCTCAAATGATAATAATTATACGAAATGACACCAAGTGGCGGTGAATCGGTAATGGGGGGAAGGGTTCTTGCACACATGCACTTCCTGCTCGCCACTCTAGTTTACAGTAAAAAAGTGTCAATTTGGATCTCACTCAGTAATGGTTGTTACATTAACATTGGAAACCTAAACCTGAATCTTGTTTAATTAGTAGATTTGAAGTTAACTAAGAAAGACAGCTCTCCCATTATTTATATGGATGGGTAGCTGAAAGGTTATTGATATTGCGTATAAAAAGTAGCAAGTTACCAGTTCGATCCTCAGAAAAATCAGTAGCTTTATAATGCATCCAAAATTGGACCCAGCTATCCTTGATCATTGAGCAAAAGAAAATAAATAACAGGATAAAAATTATCCTGACTACAGAATCAGTTAAACAGTAACAAAGCTAGACCGATCATCTACACTTATTCTGCATTCATAAATAGCTTTGGCTTATAATATGTACAGTACATCAAGGATGACACTGTCATACTTGATGAGAATGGATTTAGAGATTACTAGCTGTGTGCCCGTTTTACGGACGGGGATCTTGTAGTCATTTGAAACCTTCTTATATTCTGAACAGCAGTTGGTTTGCATATTAAAATTAATTAATTATTAATAGTTATTAAAAGGTCTATGCGGCATAGCCCTAAGGTAGGCCTAATTGAAAGCTACTTTCCACACTGATTAAAAGTAGTCAAATACTGCCTCACCATTGCACACTTTATTCCGGTTGACATTTTCATTAACAAAGGTGCTCTTGTTTTTTCCACGAAACACTGAGAAATAAGTAAGTTAATGCGTTACCAACAGACATACACACAAAAATACAGAATTGAATTAGGCTTTTGCTAAGCTTGATCCAAAGCAAAGTACATATAAAATTAGTGTTTAAAATCTTTGTTAGTGTCATCAAATTTTATCATAATCGTATTTACTTTTCATGCAGTGATAATGCTGTGAATCTGAAGATAACCTGAAATGGTGTTGAAATGACGGCATACTATATGAAATGAGGTATGCTACTAAAGACGATTTAGATTGATAATTTACAATACACAGACCAAAAACTATACGTAAACAACGTAAAGCGTAAACTAAACAATTCATGATGGTTTGCTCAAAAAATGATTCACTCAAATGTGTTAACATTTTCATAGCGTAAACTAACATTTTGGAAACCAGTCAGAAAATGCAAAACTTATATAGTTAGTAAGACATTAATTAATTAATTTTAATATGAATGTAAGAAATGAGGTACAACACCAACAATAACTAAGTTGTAAATGTGATGTGTTGGCACGTAAAAAAAAGATTCTTGCTGCTATCACCAGCAGTCCTTGATGCTAAGGAAAAGTACCAGTACCAAAAACAAACTTTTACAGTTAAGAACTATAAGGTTAAGTCACAAGGTTATTGATCTCTCTTGGTTTTAGATTTTCCCACAAAAAGTGATCGGAAATCAATATTATTTTCCATTAATTGCATTATTTCTAAACAACTTTTAATGTAAAAATATCGGTGACGGTTTGAAGAAACGACCTTTATTATTTAATACAGTAGATCCTTTGTCCTTCTTATTTAAGAACGTTTGTTATTTAATAGATGACTCATTCTCTAAACATTGATTGGTATATCTAGTAAACTTAAAGACCGAAAGTGACACATTGGGAAACCAAGTTTAGCAGCATCCTCTGTTACGACCACAACAAAATCGTAAAGATCTTCCGAGATCACAGCAATATCCGTGATCACCCACTGCAGTTGTGATTTTTTAATTTACATTTTCACAACCCTCTTTGAAGCGCCGTCAATGAGAGGTAACCTTGTTTGTAAGCTTTTGTTGACGATGATTTAACCCTTAGAGTGCCAGGCAAGAAATAAAAGTAACGCTCAAAAAATGCCGATGATTTTTCCCGAAGGTCGCGCTAAAAATGCCGAGCGCGATCTGGCGATTTTTAGGTTAAAATTTCGTAAAAATCGAATTTTCGATATTTCGACCAACGAAAATCGACGTATTGCATCTAGTAACTTTCGACTCAATGTTAATATATGGGTTAAAAGAATCCGAGTATCCATTCGGTTGTTATGACAACTGTTCGATCATTACGAAACGTCCGGTCAGCCGGACGTTGGCACTTTTGGCTCGTTCTAAAAACGTCCGGTCAGCCGGACGTCGGCACTTTTGGCTTGTTTTAAAAACGTCCGGTTCCCCGGACGTTGGCACTCAAAGGGTTAAAAAATTTAAGTTTACCAGCCCTATAAAACACTGATCCATGGTCTTCTTCCCGGGTACCAAGCTCAAGAACAATTTAAGACACAAAGAATCTCCGGTTCCCGACCTGGATAATGCCTAGTTATTTAATTTCATTTACGGTTACACCTTATTACACTTGTGATTAATTTAATCTGTTATGTAAGTCACAAGGTCATTAATCTCACTGGTTTTGGATTTGCTCACAAAATGTGATCGGAAATGTTTGCAGTATTTGTAAACAGCATTTAATGTAAACATACCAGTGACAGCTGTAAGGTTTTGTACACCTCAATCAATGGCACTCACTGATCAATCTCAAACAACTGATGATAATGTAAAATTTTTAGGGCTATATATTGATAAACACTTGATCTGGAGCAGGTGCATTCAGTCGGTAATCGGAAAATTAAATTCAGCCTGTTTTCAAATGCTAAGTTTAAGAAATTCTATAGACCTGAGAACTTCTGGCATGCTCTATTATGCTTACTTTTATTCAATAGTACAGTATGGAATTAAATTTTGGGGGTACGCCTCTGAAATTGAAAAAGTTTTAAAATAATAAAAAAAGTGTATAAGAATTATGATTTTTTACTATGGAAATCTTCATGCAAAACTGTTTTTCAAGAATTGAATATTATGACTATTCCAAATTTGATTATTTACAAAACATTGTTAGCGGTGCATTCAAATTTTGATGACTACATTAGCGAAAACTTTGACCACATATCTGTAACACAAGATTTTAAAATAATTTCCAATATCCGACACACCGACTGAAGGATGTAGAAAAAACACCTAAATACATGGGAAGAAACTGTTTAATTAACTAGTCTACCCTCAACTCTAAAAACTTTAATTAATAATAAATCTTTTAAAAGCAGCCTTGCTGATTTTCTGATAAGTAAAACATATTGCAGTGTTAATGTTTACCTCAATGAAACTAACCAATCAATATGACATTTATTTTGTACTAGCTGTACCCGCGGGCTTCGCCCCGTTTAACTTCATAAGTATTCGCATGGCTCATTCACGTCCTGGTTGAAGTTCGTTCGCTACGCTCACTCACCTTTAGGTTGGAGCTCGTTCGCTGCGCTCACTTGCCTTCAGGTTAGCTCGTTCGCTACGCTAACTCGCCTCCAGGTTGAAGTTCGTTCGCTACGCTCACTCACCTTTTGGTTGGAAAGTAGCTGTTGTCATAAATAAAAAAATAATAGTGCTGCACCCTGTTGGTAATACTTGTAACTTTTATGTTATTGAACATCATAGAACAGAACCAACTTGTTTAATTTTAACAGCTGTTAAGATTCATTAATTACTTTAAAATATGAAAAATCATAAGATTAACATGGGGAACTACAGAGCCACTGGGGCGGAGCCCGAAAGGGTTTTTGAGATAAGAATATGCTTTAATGTTAATCGGGAATGTGAGCTATCATCATGCCAAATTTCAGCCCAATCCGTCCAGTAGTTTATGCGTGATTGAGCAACACACACACACACACACACACACAAACATACACACAAACTCACAAACTTTCAGATTTATAATATTAGTAAGATAAGATTTTAAAGTTGTTATTTGACTACATAGAAACTTATTTTTTCTGTTATTGTTTAACAAATTTTGCCAACTTGTTTAAACACATTTTTTAATGCATAAGACATATTTTTGTACATTTTTAGTTAGTAATAATCTTGTCAATGACATCTGTTTTTTAGCTGTGCTATGATTAAATACCCCCGACGCAGCAAACATGCCGACTAAGCGAATTTCCATTTGTCTTAATTGATTTTCAATTAAATATATTTTAATAACATTATATATATATATATATTATATATTATATACATTATTTATATTAAACGATCAAAATCAAATGATCACTTGTTTTCTATCAGAATAACATGGGAATTTTAAATTTACATTTTTTTGGAATTTTTTCCGTAACCATTAGGCGCATAATAACACTTCAATATACTAAATTATTTGTTTTTTTTTAAGCTCTACAAAATGGTCTGAAAAGAAATTGCTAAATTTTATGTTTTTTGGGTCAAAAAATGCCACAAAAACAAAAGAACCGCTGCTGAACTGTATGCCACTCGTTTTCCTGACAGGCGGCATCCATCAGATATGAGCTTTTTACACCTTGAAAAAAAAGCTCGTTTAACAGGCAACTTAGGTCCCAAAAAACGGAATCGAACACATCCTATCACCAATGTTGATACCGAAGCAGATGTTTTGGCTTCAGTTTTGGTTGACCCGCATTTCTCTACTCGAGAAATTGAAAGGTATACTAATCTAAGTAAAAGTTCAGTTTCAGTAATATTACGGAAACATAAATTTCACCCATATCATGTCATTCTTAATCAGGAGATACGAGAAACTGATTACCCTAGAAGGTTAGAATTTTGCACATGGATGACAGAACAAATCCAGTTGCAACCTCGTT